GCTGCGCTGGCGTGACCCGTGTGGCCAGCTGGAGCCTGTGGTGCGGTACTGGTTTACACTGGTGTGGGGTCTTGTCCCGAATCCTTCCCCTGCTGTACCTCCCAGCTGCTGGAGCAGGCGCTGGTGATCGAGGAGCAGCTGCGGAGGGCCGCGTACCTGAACATGACCCAAGACCCCAATCACCCGGCCATGGCATTGAACGCCCGTCTGGCTGAAGTGGAGTGCCTTGCCGAGAGCCACCAGCATCTCTCCAAAGAGTCCCTGGCTGGGAACAAGCCCGCGAACGCCGTCCTGCACAAGGGTGCGTGCTGGCAGAGGGGGGGCGGGAAGGGTTTGCTACCCTGACCCAGGGGAAATCCAGCCGGGAGGTCATCCCCGTCCTGCGTTCCCTTAGCCGGGAGCTCCTCCCCAGCTCGCTCTGCCGGCGAGGGCACCGGCAAGCGGCATGCCGCTGCTGTGGCCGGCAGTGGCAGGAGTCCGCAGCGCTCTTTGCCATCAGCTCCCGGGGCTTGCCGGTCCCCGGGGGTGCTCCTGCCTGAGCCCCCCGCCTGAGCGCCGCCTCGCTCTGCTCGCAGTGCTGAACCAGCTCGAGGAGCTGCTGAGCGACATGAAGGCCGACGTGACGCGCCTGCCCTCCATGCTGTCCCGCATCCCGCCCGTGGCCGCCCGGCTGCAGATGTCTGAGCGGAGCATCCTCAGCCGCCTGGCCACCCGCGGGGGGGACCCCGCCGTCCAGCAGGTCAGCGGGGACGGGGACGGAGCCCCTCGCTGGGGGTGGCGGTGGGGCCGGGGCTGCAGGTCAGCGGCTCTTCTCTCTCCGTACCTCCCCAGGGCTCCTGCAGCTCCTCCCAGATCTACAACAACAACTTTGGGCCAAATTTCCGAGGTCCCGGGCCAGGCGGGATTGTCAACTACAGTCAGATGCCTCTGGGACCGTACGTGACCGGTAGGTCGGGGTTTTGAGCGGATGCTCCTGGGCAGAGAAATTCAGGGGGTGGGTTTGAGTGGGTCAGGAGCATCGCCAAAGGATGGCGGGCGAGCAAGGTGTTTCTCTCCTCACAGATATTTAGCTGTTCCCATGATTGTCCTCTGCAGCTCCCGTTTCCAGCCGAGGTAAGGCTGTGCTCGCTGCTCTCCGCGTTCCGTTTGCGGGAGTCTTGTGGGAACACGCGTGCAGAGGGGCGAGGGGGCGGAGGGGCCGTACGAGGGCTCCGCTCTGGGCTACCTCCCCGAGTGCTGGTGTATGCCTGCGGCCTCTGGCTCGAGGAACCGCAGTGGGTACCGGCAGCGGAGGTGGGAGCAGGGGCAGGATCCTTCTCAAAGCCCTCGGGCTGGATGCCTGAGCTGCCTGCCCCTGCTCGGGGGGTTCGGTGCGCTCCCCTC